TCCCGAACTCGGACCTGGCTCGCCTCCTGTGTCGTTTCTATCAGTGACCTAGGACCTCCCCAGGCCGATGGAGGCTCGCGCGGCAGCAGCTCCCCTCGCTTCACGCAGACCACACAGCCGCAGGACCGGGGGTTGGGGTTCCGATGGCGAAGCAGAAGATGAGGTGTGCCACCTTGAAGTCAGTCATTGTGAGCGGTGTGTTGAAGTCCCTGAAGGTGTGCCGCCTCTCCGTGAGTCTTTTGAGCGGCCGTGAAGCAAGAATTGACATCACGAGCCAAATGCGTATTGCGGCTTTGAAGGATGCTGCCGAGAGGGAGCTTGAATGCTCAATTTATGCCCTGTTCAAGGACAGGTCTTGACTGGAATGGAAGATGTGTGGTCCAACAACCATCCGGAGTTTTTGCGGGATGTTCATTTTGATTGATTGGATGTACATCCACAAAGCCCTAAACAATGAGTAGTTGCCCGGAAGGAGGAACGCCGCCTGGACCTGGACAAAAGTGTTGGCGAAGCACAGCTGCAAGATGGAGATGCGCTTCAAGCTGTCGCGCCCTGGCTTTCTCTTAGTACTGATTTTGCTCGTGCAATATTAATTGAAGGCTGATGGCATGTCGCTCTTTGCAGGTTCACAAGTGTTTTGGGGCGCCTCAACCTTGTCTTTTCTCACGCTGAGACTTCCGAATCCGAAAGTGGACTCATTGCTGAGATGGCGAGGAGTAAAGGATACCTTCTTTTCTTTGGGTTTGTGCTACAGGGCGCACAAAAAGGGGTCACTTATCGCCGTGACTATCCAGTATACAATACACAGATGGGATATAGTACCAATAGATCTACAGTAATCCAATTCAACTTGAACCTTGCGCAGTGGCCTGACAAATAAGCATCCCAACCTCTCTCACAAAGCTGATGTGACAACGAAACCAGTGTTGAACATTTCGTCCTCCACGCCCGAACCCGACTGTCAGGTCGGTCAGGCAAAGGCGGGGCTCTACGGACCACGTCGCGCGACTAGCTTGTTGGCAACTAAGCCCAGGTCAACGATCCGAGACCACAGGTTTCAATTTTCCATGTTCTTTTCTTTTTCAGAGGCATGGTTCCAATAACCTTTCTTTCATGAACTTCACCTTGATAGAATCCAGTTGTCACCGGGCAGGAGATGGTCGACCAGTCTGATCCCACTTCATTGGCTTTGGGGTACATATATATATATATATATAGAGGTTCATAATGCGCTGAGCCTGAGGATGTTGAAATGTTTACTGACAGGCTTCGCCAACCGAACCGGCGATGCCCTTGGGGGGACGGCGCATACCCGCGGGCTCTTTGCACAGCAAAACCGACGAGTAGCACAGCTTCTGACGCCTGCGCATACACACTTCCACATAGGTGTGCGCATGAAGTAAACAGCCTGGCAACTTCAGCTTCAAACACACGTACGCACATGCACACCTGCACACGCAACCGCACGCACACGCACTTGCGCACACGCACTCGCGCAGACGCATGCGCGCAAGCGGGCACCCAATGAGCGAAGTTGGAGCCACCTTTGCGTCCGCGAACCCTGTGTCACACATATAGCTTGAGGCTAGAAAATGAAAAAAAAGCACAATTTTCTCAGCGTTTTCCATTACACAGTCCTGATAACTGAAGAAGCCATATAAGCCCAGGTGGTGCTAGAAATGTCGGCCGCAAACCGACATTTTAAACATCGCCAGGTGTATTTACTTGAAAAAGCATCAAAAGCAGAGGCAAAATGATCAAAAGTGGCTACTGTAAAGCCTTATCTCTGGAGAAGAAAGTATGCTAAGAGGAGAGAAAGTTTTGAAGTAGCAGTTGTGTCGAGCACCATTGGCATCACCAGAGTACGAGCAGCATTGTGCATAAACTACAAAAAATTTGCAAACACAGTGTTTTGCGCCTAGTCATGCACCAAAGGATTTACATCTTTCCTGCTGAGGCCCTGCTGATGCTAATGATGCTCGACCAACATTTCTCCTCAAAATCTGTCTCCATTTTCAATGGTTTGCTTTATCTTCTAGAAGTTTTGAAGCTATAATGCTTTCCAGTGGCCATTTTTGATCATTTTCCCTGTGTTTTGATGTTTTTTGACGAAGCCACATGAGCCCGGGTGATGCTAGAAATGCGGGTCGGCGGCAAGAGCGCGTCTCCGCATAGCAAGCTAGGCTTGATATGGTCACCGGGACGGCATCACCGGATTTTCTGGTGTTCTGGGTTCCCTGCCGCCGACCTTTTACTTTGAGGATTCTTGGCATTGGGTCCCTTCTTTGTGCTAGTCAGTCTCAATCATCGCTTCTTTGTGCCACAGTCCAAACGACGAAACTTCTTTTATATTTGGTTGGACCTGGACGAAGCTGTTGGTGAAGCACCGTTGCAAGATGGAGATGTGCTTCACTCTGTTGTGGCCTGGTTCTTTTTTTTGGGGGGACATGTATTGTTTGGCATCTCCGAAAGTGGATTCGTGGCTGGGTCCTTTTTGGGTGTGGTTCTGCCACTGCGCAAGGCCTTCTGCGGTTTCACATGGCCAGAGAAGCCGCAGGACCGGGGCAGCGGAATTAATGGTGCGAACCGCCATAGGTGAAGATGTGGATCTCCATCTCAAGAATGGTTGTTTCGGGGTGGAGCACTCTCATGTATAGGCGTCTTGGTGGATTTGTGTGGGGAAACAGTTCAAAGAAAGGATGTTGTTTTGGAGTTTGTGCACAACTTTTGCTACACATCCTTGGTCACAGGCCACCTACCATCGGGAACAGTGGGTAGATTGCTTCACAACATGAGATAACTTCAGGACCTCAACTCTCTGCATCGCACCCTGAGTGTGGAACAACAGCTGCATGCGGCACGCGATTCAGACGAGAGCGTAGAGCAGCGCAGCAAGCTGGTGAAGACTGTGCAACTCGAGTGGCTCGGCGATGGATTGAACAGGGTAGATGACCCCCAAACCGGGTATAGTGCCATATATGAGCATGTCTCCGCGGTGGCCCCCCCATGCTTTGCAAGAATCTTTCGACCCATCGGTCACCTGGGCCGTGTGGGGGCATGTGGAGGCTCCGTTTCCGCCTGTTGCCACACCATAGTATCCGTGAGGGTTTGAATTCTTTTTCTCAACCGCCGAGACGTAAGTCCCTCAAGCCACTGTCGTAACTGCGATCTATTTGTGAAGCTGAGGGCCAGTGGTAACTCAAGAGGGTCCCCGTGATTGATGTGTTGACATGGATGGTAAATTCGTGGCTCTTCTTGCTCTGGGTCTACATGAGTACATCCTATTTATATACATCATCTATATACTATCTTATACTATCGTATCATTGTTTTACCACCCATCTTTATCAAACTAGGATTTGTGGGAACGGCGGAGGCCTTGCCTGAAGTCTTTCCGAGGTTGCACCCTGACAAGGGTGGCACAGATGAAGCACAGATGCTCGTCCTGGTCGTCGTGCTGGCGGGGTGGTGCAAAGAACCAAACTCTGAGTCGTAGACCAAATCTTGCATGATCCACCAAGCCTTGGACATATTGAGATAACCAATTTATAGTTAATGCGGATTTGCAGGTAGATTGCGGGCACCTTCCGCTCATGTTCCACGGGACCAGAATCCCTGACAAGCGGGAACAGCAACGTACAGTGACACTTGGAAGCTCTCAACTCTTCGACTGTCAACTTCACATAGGGCGTGGCTATAACGTGCTCTAACCCGATGTCCCAGGCTTCAGTTTGCGAGGAAAGACTACTCACCAGTCCAAGACTGATCATCGATCGACAGCTTGCACGCACTCTGTATGAAGGTCGACCTTTTCTCCTCTTGGAGGAAGTTTATAACAAATTCTGAGGGCAGAGGGTAAAGGCCCCTGGGTGTTCGATGCTCGCCTGCCTGAGGATCTGGCTCAAAGAGTGGCTGAAGGAGCACCTCGAGTGGTTCTTCGAGCCGCACCAGGTCCCAGAGACCCTCAGGAGGAAGTACCAGGCGAGTGATGTTTTAGGAGATGATGAGCTTTGGAGCATTGACCACCAGAACACCTGTCAGAGACAAGCTTTCAATCAACGGGACTTCACTCTTAGGCACATTCTAGAGATTCTAGAGTAGCACATGTGTCCACCCTATACCGCTTCGCGTGGGACCGGTCTTGATATGATGCGGTGTGGGACTGTGGGACACTCTGCTCAAAATTGAGGGTGATACGGTGACACGGATAGTTGGCCCCCCAAACAAAGAAGAAACACTCTTTGTTGCGATGCAAAACAGGCAAAGGTCTTCACAGGAGACTTTTTTGGAACACAACCTCCGTGAGAATTCAAATTGCAGTCATCCGCAGACGCTAAACCGGCTCCGGTGCTCAGGGTGACGAGACTGTCTGATAGATCGCCCTGATGGCATCGAGTAGAGATCGATCCCAAGCTGTTGCCCTCTGTGATTCAGACATGGGACACGTCTAGATCCAGTGAATCCAGGTGATTTTTCATCCTTGAGTTTTCCTCCTCCACAGAGGGCACCCTTGAGTCAAGGGCAGTTCCGCGTGCTGCCGCCCAGAGCCCTTCCATGGGTGCATCACGCACCAAGCAGGACATGGAGTCGACAGATGGCCACACCGAGCATGTCACCTCCATACCTGTGGGATTGAGTCAATAATTCGTTTTGATTTTGCCTTTGGTCATTCAAGGCAGACCAAAGTGCCGCAGCAGAGCCTGAATAGATCTGCATCGATCCAAATGAATCTAGTACGGGGGAGGATTATTATCAGCTTTTTGACGCAAGGTCTGTGGTGATCACCTCGCGGAAATCATGAAAGGAGCATCTTCCTAGCTACTATGCTGGCTGGTCCAAGTCTGCCTTTTAAGATCTGCCTGTAAAGTTTGCAGGCGCATGCGCCGCGCTGAAGCGCACGCGCCGCGCTGGCGCGCCTAAGTGCGCGAACAGATGAGCGCCAGGTGCAGGCAACACAGTGGAATAGCTGGTCTAAGGGCACCAGTCACTTGCTTTTTTTCCGGGATTGCGAGTCGGTACTCTAATTATGTCTTTTGCCTGCAGAGAAGGCTCGAACAGCTTTGACAAGCGACTCAGCGACTCAATCTTGTGGATCCGCATTTGACGATTCGTGATGGCTGACATGTCGGAGGCTGATCATCGTGCAAAATTCCGCGTTGGGCTCCGTCTGACTCTGTATATATATATATATATGTATTATAGAAGACTTATACAGTTTTTTTTCCAGAAATTCTTGTCTCAGATTCGTGCCGTTTTGGTGGGAGCACATTGTTATCAAATAACGATGAATCAAGCATTCCCACAAGCTTTTCGCTTGCATTTCGATTGGGTTTGCACGATCATGGCGATCTCACACTTTTGGATGGTAGGGTTTCGAACCTTTTGACATGGCCATTTTTGCGTGCTTCTCCCAACTTCTAGTTTTTGTTTGCAATCTTTTTGCGCTATTCCATGAGCTTCGTTGAGGTTTGAAAGCAACCCATAACAGGTAAGATGCCATCCAAGCCAGTGGTTACAGAATGTTACATGACCCATGGCAAGGCCAGAATCCACGCTCCACGGTCTTATTTTGAATCTTTTGCTGCAACGAAAGGGGCAATGCCAGCGGTAGGGGTTGGACTCCTTACACGAGGAAAACCATTTTGTGTTCCAAGTGATCAAGGCACTTTAAGGGTACATCGTTGATGTCAAAGGTCAAATAGAAGAAAGGACCCTTAGATCGGGGAGAAGGATTTGTGAAAAAGGGCCCACGGGACCAGTGGAGAAACCCACAGCCTTGAACACGCCTATGCTATATTGCCTGTCTACCCCAAAAAAGTCCCCACCTAACTGGCCCTGCACCGTCATTTGCTCGATCGAACAGGCTCTGGCAGAGTTGGAGAGGAAGGAGGTCGCTGAGAGACACGGGCTGGCCAGGGTGGGTGGGAGAGGTTTCTGTGCCGGTGGTGGAGGAGCATCACTTTGCGAAGAGAGCAACTCGACGAGTCGTTGCTGGGACTCCTCCCAGCGAACCAGTTGTCGTCATCGAAGAAGGGACGTGGCGAACTTTCTTCCCAAAAGCGAACCGGTCAAGAACCCCTTTTCGGTGCTGATCACAGCGAATCGGTCAAAACTTAGTGGCTCCAAGACGCGCTTGAACATGTTGCAATCCAAGTGGCTGTTGGTTGTCAAGTACATCTTTAGGTTACTGAACCTGGGTTTTGCCAGGATTGATCTAAAGGTGATTAGATTTAGATGTGGTAAAGTCAAACCCTCACGCGGTACCTTGAGACATGTCAGTGAAGGTGCCAGTGACATCCCTGAGAGATAGACGCCAGGCTGAAGCAGGTGACACTCCCATGGAGTCGGTGGGAGACCAGGAGAAGCAGGCGAGGGACAGGTGTGATCAAACGTGTTCGTGGGATCTCCTGGATATGTCTCAACATCGGGGACAGTCTTTTATACTTTTCCCTTTTTTGTTCATATGTCCATCAAAGAAGAGTCTCCCAATTTTGAGAATAAACTGTTTTGAGGCTTGATCTAAGTTCTAAGCAACCCTCTTGTGGTGTTTTGCTTCTTACACAGTTCTTGAGGCGCGGAATGAACGGATCCAATGATCATAACCAACGTTGGCGAAGAAACCCTCGTCTCCTATTCATAGATTGTACCATGGAGAACTCGGAAAAAACAACGCAATAGCATCCTCTGCGGCTCTGCGTGTTTGAGAATTGTTTCCTGGTGCTTGGGAGACGATCACCACTCCCTTGCCAGGACACCAGCATCGAGGCATTCCCAACGCCCGACGCTGAGAAGAGATCCACCTCCTCAGGTGAAGATGACGAAGATCTGGATGCCGATCAGCAGGAGTGGTGAAGACGCTGCGAACGGGAACTTGGGATGGGCTTGAAACGAATTCACCCATTTTCCTGGGCAGGTTAAAGGTCCATGGCAAGATGAAACCTGTCAAAATGCCTGCATGGGGGTAGCATGAGCCCACGGATCTCCATGCTGTGGCAGGAGTCCATGGGCGAAGACGACAGGAGTCCAGAGGAGCTTTCTGACGGTTTCGGACGGATGAAGTGCAGGCCGAGGAATCTGCAGACGGTGTGCAGGTCGAAGATATGGACAAGTTTCCCAAGTCCTGACCGACCCATCACTGAAAAATTCGTAAAGCAGATCAGAGAAGGTACAGTGGTCAAGGAACCATGAACAGAAGGTTAGACGCGTGACCCCAGCAACTTTAGCCATCAACTTTGCACCATGTGGTGTAATTGTCCATGTGATGACAGGTCCCTACTCTCTCTCTCTCTCTCACATGTCCACCTTGATGCACCACTGCCACGTGAAAGAAGGTACAAAAAGTAATCTTGACCCTCAAAAAGGTTAAGGGGGCCATCTTTCTCACGATCAACATTGACCCTGAACAAGATCACGGTGCAACGAAACCATGTTGCATCCTCCGCTGCACTTGTCCAAACTTGTCCAAAAACCGAATTTATACAAAGACAAGATCATGTTCGATGTGGGGTCTACTGTCTCCCTACGGTCTTCGGTCTCACGACAACCATGTTCAGGACACCTTGGCGGCCGAACCAGATGCCCTTCCGGCCCACCAGTCTGATGATCTCGACGAGGAGTCCCACTTCATTGGCTCACTGGGGTCACCCCATGTAGACCATTCAGCTTGGGATGCGAACATCTGGGCTACAGGGGGCGAATGGATCTACTGGCTTTTCTGGAGTTTATTGAAATTAGGTGTTTATAGTAGGTTCACAGTGCTTTGAGCCTGACGATGGGGTATTGTGAGGTGTCTATTTACAGCCTTCGGCATGCCGCCGGCCACCAGCTCGAGCCCGCATTGGCAGGCAGCCTAATGATGCTTATTAACAGTGTTCCACAGTTCTATTTTCGTTCCAAGGCAGGGACAAGATCACCTCTTCTAGGCTGAAGCAGCTATATAATCCGGCACGTCTCTTTGATTCAACTCGCTTTTTCCTGTTCTCGCCATGGCCTAGTCTGAAGCAACCGGGGCAGGGCAGGCTGTCGAAACATCCGCGCGGAGAAACAAACCGTAGATTGAAACCAACCGTAGATTGAAACCCATGGAAGCCAACACAAGCCAGACGAAGCAAGACAATCCACAAAACCGGTACTACTTGGCCTTTTGCATGTTTTCCTTGTCAGATCTTTTCTTCGACCGTCTTGAGGAATTGCGAGTCGCACAAGATATTCTTTTTCACATACAGAAGGCTTCAAAGCGACTGACGAATTTCTTGATCTGGCATGATTTGTCGTTTTTTTCTCCAAACCGTTCGAAATGAAAGACCCAGAATGACATCGAACAACAATACCCTGCTCAATCATACTTGTTGGTGCATTGGAGTTGCACATTTGGCTGGGTGAGTTTGTTGATGTTTATTTCAAGGTTGTTTGACCATGAAATGGAACGAAATCGAATCAGAGGTTGTCTATTCTGATCCAGCGACCGACATGTCTCAGT